ATGGCAACCAGACACTCCCAGTTAAGCAGTTTTACGATACCCAATAAAGCCTGACACAATAAACCAGATATTTAAGTGACACTAGAAATGATTTTCAAGAGACTTGGGATTAAATGGAATAATCCATCTAGAAGCAACCTTCAGTCAAATCACCTCCACCCTCTGCCCTGTGCCCAAGCCACCTGGCTCACTGCGCTTTCCTATATTCCCTAGAGAGAAGTGGGGAGACAGGACCTGCTAGCGTGAGCTTGTTCTAGAGTAGGACTCATGATCAGTGCCCCCACTTCCTCTCAAGGTCCTCTCTGGGAGTCCAGGGATGGGAAAGGACAACTATACAGATCCCTTCGGGTCTGCTGCATCTCTGAGGCAATTGTGGAAGCTTCAACTTCTATGACTGCAGAGGCGGTGAGCCCATTGGCAAGGTGCTGGTAATACTCCTCAGGTGGGTCATCTCACCTCTAACAGGAGCCCTCTCCCCCTGTTTCTCTTGGTTTGGTTTATAGCATCTAAACAACACTCCTCCATAAGCCCTCTTCTCCCCACCCCACTTTTAGCTGGATGCACCTCCACTGAAGTGGCTACAGAGCGCTTAGCGCGTGGGATGTGCAGTCAGAACAAGTCCAGGTCACAGTCTCATCTTGCCGCCCGGGGAGCCTCAGCTTCCTCACCTGTGCTGCTGTGAGGACGACACAAGATCATAAACATAAAGGAATGAGGGTGGGATGTTCTGAGAGAAGAGCATTGAAACAAGTATACTATCAAGGATGAAACAGATCGCCAGCCCAGGCTGGATGCATGAGACAAGCGCTCGAGGCTGGTGCACTGGGAAGACCCAGAGGGATCGGAGGGGGAAGGAGGTAGGAGGGGGGATCAGGATGGGGAACACATGTAAATCCACGGCTGATTCACGTCAATGTATGGCAAAAACCACTACAATACTGTAAAGTAATTAGCCTCCAGCTAACAAAAATAAATGAAAAAGAAAAAAAACGGGAATTAGACTTGGGCTTAGGATGTAAAACAGCTCCGTCAAAGGAGTTGCACGACTGTGCTATCTATTTTTTTTACCTATTGACCTTTCCCATTAAACTAAGTGCCGTATGTTTTCCTTTTGACCATCTCAGAGGCCTCTGACATGCGGCAGGTGCCATATGCACACAGCTCCTCCAGCCAGGGCTGGGACGTAACAGATCTGGGAAGTGACAGTTTCCATAAAGTCAGGGCTGGCTGTTCAGTGAGTCTGCACAGAAACCCAAAGTTCAAACATCTTTTAAGAAGATAAACCTACTACGAACTTCCAAAACGGTCTCTCTTACTGCTAAATAATTCTCAAATGTAAGTCCAGAACCTTCAATTGCTTATGCAAGCTGGTGTTTTTTTCCTAAACAAAACTCAAATCCTGCTATTTACAGCTAATCAGGTTTTACTGATTGTTACACAAATAGACTATTATTTATTTTCTATACATGCTCACTGGAGAAAATATGGGGAGAAGCACCCCAATTCCACCATCCATTTGTCTGTACTTTGTTTTCTATGCATAGTTAAACCTTTTAAACAGTTGCAATTGTAATAATGCACTATAACTGGCATACTGCCCTTCCGCTATTAACTTATCCTAAGGTGGACTTTATGGATCATGGATTTTTCTTCAAGTATCTAATAAGAAAGGAAAATGGGACTGCAATCCAAGAGAATTAATTTGTTGAGCAAATAACACTGCAATCCACTTCATGTTTAAAAGACACAATGACAATTGCCTGATGGTATTCTCTTACTTCTTGAACACTGCTTGATAGGATTTTATCAATTACCGAGCCTTTTTAGATTCGGGGGAAACATTAAAATTTCATATGGTTGTTGTCCTGTTACAAAAACAATGCATGCTCATAACATGTAGAAAATTTTAGTAAGCAATAATTTAATGCTAATATTTATTGAGCATAGACTATGTTAGGCACTGTGCTTGACAGAGATAAACTCATTTATCCCTCCCAATGTCTCATTGAAGCACAGAGGTATTAAGGAACTTGCCCACATGCTACATGCCTAGAAGCATGAGCCTGCAATCCATCGCTGTGCTATAATGTTCTAAGAGTGAAAGGAATCAATAATCTATTCAATGAAGTCCTCTGCTGCTTCAGAGTATAATGTCATAGGCAAGAAGTGATTCATAATAATGCTGTATCCCTTATAGTTATTTAAAAATATTATAAGCATGATCTCTGAGTCCCTATGGAACAATTAGTAAAATGAAAAGTCATCTGTGGCACAAGCTGCGATTCCAATCGGCCCAATTCTAAGCACCTGACGAGCGTTAAGAAAACAACAGGCGCTTAAATGGGTTTGTTTTAAAGATGGAAACATTTTTCTAAAATTCTGCAAATGAGTCAGTGATGTGATGAGTAGATTCCCTGAATTAACTGGACACCCAGTCTCACAAAAAATGTACCATCAGTCACAGTGCTTTTATACAACATTTACGAACTGGGTCTGCATGCAAACCCAAATTCCAAACATCTCTTAAGAAGATAAATACATAAATTTCTGAAAGGGTTTCTCTTTTACGGTTAAATAATGCTGCTAATTATTCCTAAATGCTTCTTATGGCTTATCTGTTAGCACTGGACATCAGTACATGAAAAATAACTGGATACCCTGGGTCACATTTTTTCATACTTTAATGAAAAATTATACTAGGTAAAAGATACACATTTCTGTTTATAGCCTACCCAGGGTTAATAAGCATAGCTTTTTAAATATAAATTTCTCTTTAAATTTAAAATATGATTAATGGAATGCTTCTGATTGCCTGGCTCTAAAAATATTATACGACTATAACTTCACACTAAAAGCGCATTAAAACTGTTAACTCTAGTAATCGTAATTATTCATACTGCTGTTGAAAATATATGACACATACATGTATACAAATATTTCAGATATTTAGACAGATAGTTGGCTATATAGATAGCTAGATCTACATATCTATAAAACCAGGCAACTTCTTTGGAATTTAACTGCTCTAGTATTTCCAGAAACTCTATCTATCTATCTATCTATCTTAGCTATCTATCTATAAAATCAGAGCCTTCTTTAGTTTATGTCTCTATCTATGTTTCCAGAAGGTTCAAACTGCCATCTTTCACTTTATCTGATGACTGGCTGCTAGAGTCAGTTGATAAAACATCTAATAATCTTGAATATTATCTATGTATAAGGTGCAGTGTTCTCCAAAGATTGTTTCAGATACTTTCGTAAAAACACTTGAGACTGAGACCACACTCATTCTCATTTTACAAATCAGACTGAAAATGGTTAAGTAACTCATATTCCCATCCACATCTGTCCAGCACCAAAACCATACCTCAAACCACTGTTAAGCTGCCTCTCTTCCAAATCAGACTCCAGAAAAATTTGACTTCCACCATTTGCCTCCCTAAATTAAGCTTAAGCTGATATATAAAACTTAAAAAAACATCCAACACGAATCCAACAAAACAAATGACATAATTCCTAATCTGGTTTTTTTTTTCCGTGAGAGGTTTTTAACATAAAAAAACAAAACTAATCTGATATTTGCTAGCCATTTCTTCAAGTGTGTTGATTATGCAGCTTTCTGCTGTCACAACTGGACAAATCACCCATGTCCTTCAACAAGTGACAACACAAGCCCAGCGCTGCAAATCTGTTAGAGACCTAAGCTTTCAAACGAGACTGGAGCCTGCTACACTGAAAATTTTTATCGCATTCATCTTTTTGGTGTCTTGTGAAACACATACCAACATCTTAATGTATTTTTAGACAAATCTAAATTCTGTCTGGATTCAACATCTTCCTGAATTACCTGGGTTATAAACAATAAAAACATGACTTTTTTTTTTTTCCTCATAAGGCCTAAAGGAGCAGTCCTTAGACTGTTTGGCATTTTTTGGACTTAAACCAGGATTTTATCGTGCTAATTAACTGTTAGAGAGGGCAAAGAAACTGAACAGTCGATCCCAGAAGTCATCTTATCACTGAAGTCTCTGTAAAACGTTTGATTACTTTAAAAAATTATGTATGTGTGAATCATTAGCTTGTTTATTGAAAAAAGGGCTTGCTGACACATACACTTTGGGTTTTTTTTTTTTAAGAATCAAAACAGTTCCTTACTTGAGTGTGACTGTTTTGGCAACAGTTAAACTCAACGCCGTCATTCTAGCGCTGCCTGCCTTCCTGGTTCTCCTAGGTGAGGGCCGCCATCCTGCGATAATTTACACGCAGGGCTAAGACGCACCAGCAGTGGTGCAGTGTGGCGACGAGCAGTTTAGAAACAAAGCCAAACTCCGCTTTCAAAGCAGAGAACCCACGTACACAGTTCCCGTCCCTGACAACGTCCAAAAGATTCCTTATAGGCAACCCACTCAGACGAAGCTACAGCAGCCCCAGGAAATATAAACAGAGTCCGCAAAGACCGGCGGGAGGGGGGCCGCCGGGGGGACAGGAAACAACTGATGGGAAGGAAACTAATCCTGTGAAGTTTGCCCGACTCCACACGGTCTAATGCATTCCGGTTTGTTTCCACTCAGAGCAGCCATTAAACGTGCCCTGACACGTGGGCGCAGGGGACCTCCCTTCTCGCCGGTTTTTGGCCGTTTCCTTCGCTGGGCGCTTGTTTGTATACAACCTCGTCCGGACAGGGGGTGATCACAAGATGACAGGCCTCGGCAGTTCCTTCACTCGGATTTCTAGTTGTCCAAAGTTTCACGCCACGGCGGGGATTTAACGAGAATCACGAGGTCCTTTCCGAAAGTTATGAATGGTTTAAGTTTACAGAAGGCGAGGGACGAGCGAGTGCCGGGCTATTTCAGCCGCGGCGTTTTAAAATTAGCTTTAATTGATACGCCCTAGTTAAAATTAAAAAGGGGGGTGGGGAGTCACTCTGATACAGGCAGTGAGTGTCAGGGGCAATACTTTTTAAAAAATAACTCAAGGCTCACGTCCGAGTCTTGACTTCCTCATATCACCTGCAAATAGTCTCCTGGCCACTCACTGCTCGGGGGTCCCTCGCGGGATGTGTGATCGGAGTCCTCTCGGTAACCCGCTACTTCCCCGCCAGACCCCCAGCGCCTAGCGGGTTCCAGGACTGTGCACTCGCCGCCTAGTCCCCAGAAAGAGCGGAAGAAAGTAGGAAAGAGGGGCGTGGCGCCCCGGTCTCCCCCAGCTGCCTGCCCTCCTCCCGAACCTGGCACCACCGCAGCGGGAGCTAGCGGGGAACCCCGGAGCCTTCCAGCCCCAACCTGGCGCGGGGCGCACGGCTGCGGGCCGGCCGCGGAGCCAGCGAGCAGGGAGACCTCTCCTCCCGCTTCAGCCCTCGTCCCCGGGACCGCGTCCCCAGACCTAGCCCCGCAGGACCCCCGGATTCCCGGGCCATCTGGCCGCCGCCCGTCGAGGGCGAGCGCGCCGTCCGTCTCCCGGTCTCGGCGTCCCTTGCCCTCCACCCCCATCGCGGTCTCCGGCGCCCAGTGCCCCGACCAGTCCCCGCCCTCCGGGACACTATTCCCTCCTTCCTTCCTTTCTCCGTTCCCTCCCTCCATCTCGCTTCCCAGCACCAGGAACTGGGAGGCGGCTCCCGAACTGGTCGGCCGGCGCCCCGCGCTGCGCCCCAGTCCCCTCGGGGACCGGACTTGCCACCTGCGCCCTCCGCTCGCTGCTCACTCGCCTGCCGGTGCGCTGCCCCTGCCGCCACCGCCGCTGCCGGGGACTCGGTCTCTAAGGGCTCCTGGAGACGACTCCGACCTCTCCTCCTCCTGCTCCTCCGGGCGGGGGCCGGCTCCGCCTCGCTCGGGGTAGGCGGGGCGGACAGCCCGACGGGCGGGGCGGCGGCGGCGGCCCAGGACTCCTTCCTCCCGGCCCGCCCGCCTCCCTCCTGCCCCGATGCCCTGGCTGTTCCCTGGTCTGGCTGCTGAACCTGGGTCGAGCCTGGGCCGGCAGAGGAGAAAAGTCAGCAGCACTGAAGCCCAGCAGACATCTGGCAGCCTTGGCCACCCCTCAGGGTCCCTTCCTCGAATTCCCCGAAGCTTTGGAAGTTCAAGGACTCTCGGGTCCCCCACTTAGCGACCCTCCACAGGGCTGGTCTGACTCCTCAGCAGTTTCCTTCCCTTGCGAACCCTAGGCACCCCTTCTGCCAACCGTCCGTTAGGCCACGAATATGCCAACCCCCTACATAAAAGTTAGGCTCTACTCCAGGAATTTCTAAAGAAAACAGTCACAGTAAAATGTAAAGGGCCCTGGGGCCACCGAGAGATTTTGCTTCCCAGAAAATGGAGCTATAACTGCGGGTTGTTGAGTTTGAAGTACATCCCCCATCATAAGATTCCCCTCCATCTCTCGCCATGAGATTTGTGTTTCCGAATGCCCAGTACCTGGCAGAATTCTGCTTATTGATTGAATTTATTAGATTTGGTTAAGTCTTTTCGGGAGGGACTCAGGGTGAGGTAGTTTGAAAAGCCACTTCTATTTCCATGAACTTCAGACTATTCCTATACACGGCCATTCAACCAACGTTCATTGAGCACCTGTATGTGCCCAGCATTGCAACAAAGGTAACTGGAGAGAGACGAAGATGATTCAGCCACGGGACTCACCCTCAAAAAGTCCACAAAGAGTGAAAACGACGGATGTGCAGAAATATTACCACCCAGCAGACTTCTTGCATGCTCCTAGGAATCAGCTTTCTTGTTTGACAGGGCGTAGAAAAAGGAGGAGAGGAGGCCAAAGGAGGACACTTAGAACCAGTGTGGGTCGAGTCTGTACTTGAAGTGGAGTCTTAAAGCATTGGTGAAAGACGCCTGTGTGTTGAGCTTCACCCGCTGAAGAGGAATAAGGCCTAGGGAAGTAAGGAGCCAAGCACGGGAGGGAGGACACTGCCTTTCATTTTTCCGTCCTGACCTCTACTCAAGTACCATTCTTGGTGAAATCTTCCACTGGGCTGCAGAAAGGGGGCTATGGATATAGGAAGTCAGTGAGTGGTTGGATGCCTTGTCCCAGGACTGTGGTTCTTGCAACCTGTGGATGGCAGTGGTTGTTGGGATGCAAGCCACAGCCTGCCAGGGGAGCTCAGTATTCCTTGCTTTGTACAGTGGTAGGAATTGTTTGACTGATTCACAGATGCTGACAGTTCCAAGGATATATGCTGAACAGAACAGCCTAATGCCAACTGGGACTAAGACCATCATACACTGTATCTTCCGGCCACAGACCACAGAATCAACTCCTAAAGCCCTACCAATAATTTCCATTTCTGGAGCACTTTAGAATTTAGTCAATGCTTTCATGTATGTAATCTCATCTGGAAACTGAGGTGCCAAGAAGGTTTTGAATTATTGAAGCTTTTCTAATGTAGTGTTATTCAAAGTGTGGTCCATAGAACAGTGACCGTCTGGGAACTATTACCCATCTGTGATGGGATAAGCATAGACACTGAAGGTGAACATGTAAAAACTTATATAGCAATTTAAGTAATTTTCCTGCCTCTTGAACTTAATAACCAAAAATATGGCCTTGTATTCTGTATGTCTCTTTTCTTTTTCTCATTATCCATTTTGTATTTATCATGTTGAATAAAAGCATCAGCCGCAACAGATTGAAACTAAAATCCCATAGTTTGAGATGCACTGATCTAGGCAGGAGCAAGGCAAGAATAGTAAGAGCTAACGCTTTCACAACAGATGTTGCTTTAAGTGCTTTCCATATATTAACGCTATTAATCCTTCTAACCACCCTAGCAGGTAGGCTCAGGGAGGTGAAGAAATGAGATCCCAAAGTGGCAAGATCAGAATTCCACTCTAAGAGTCTGACTCCCGACTTCATGCTCTTACCTACGGCCCTTTAGCCACTGTTCTTTTTGCTCTGCTGTGTCTAAACTTCAGTCGTTCACATTTCATCTACATATTGCTGTACCTCCTGTATGATTTTTAAAATTTATATTTTTGATTGACTTACTTTTGTGATTGCTTGCATATATTATACTTGTGGTTAGTAATTTTACCAGTAAAATCATGACTGGTAAACTAGCATCAGTCTCTCACTTCGGATCACAAGGTATATGCTTAACTCCAGCAGTTGCTGTCAATGCTCCACCATATCCCCTCTGACCCTTCTCCAATTTCGTGCATGCTGGCTCCAGGTGTGGGTTCATTCCCATCACCCAAGCCTGGCACCTGCATCTCATTGTCAAAACACCATCCTCAGCTGCAAGATTTACTTGGCCAGCATACAGAACAGCTGAAAGTACCTGGGAATTAATGTTCCCCTACCCCTGCCTCAGCCTTTAAACAGTGACTAAGGACTATGGCTGTATAAATACTCTAGTTCCTTTGCCCTCAGTTGGAATAACTTCAGGGTGGATCTCCAGGGTCTACCAGGCTCCCTACAAGACTTGAGCCAAATTCTCTCACCACTTCTATGGGACTGATACCACATTCTTGCTTGTCCTTCTTATGCTTCTGGGACCTGCTTCACACTCCCTCACCTAGGAACATTCTAATCAGGACAAATTATATAATTTGCAGGGCCTGGCACAGGGTTTTTAAATATTCATGAATTATTAAGAATTTGAAGGTAGCAACAGACTATCATCCAAGTACAGGGCCCCATATGACTGCACTGGTGTGCCACTTTACAGGTTGCATGACAGCGATGCTGGCCTGAACACTAATAAGTAATTTTCACATGAGTTCTCATCTCAGGATCTGTTTCTGGGGAATCCCAAGCTAAGATAACAACTAGTACAATAAAAGCCAGCACATTCAAAGACTATCAGAATCATCTTGTCTAATACACTGGTGGTCAGCATTCCATAGCTTGCAAGACCATCTTGTAGGAGGACAGGTCATGCAAGGTTGTATGTAAAGAGCTTTAACCACGGGAAGCGGTCTAGCAGATGAGAATGGTCTAGGTTAACAAGTGATGGGGCAAAAGATGTGTATTTTCTTTTCAATTCTGACCCTGAGTGGTACACACACAGTGTGAATTTGAATAGTATCTTAGACTGAGTTATCTGCAAACATACCTTGTATGAAAAAGGCTTATTGATGAGTGGCTAAAAAGATATACCTGTAAGGAAGTGAGGCTGGCAGGATGGGGGAGAGGGAGATGCTGACTCTCAACATGGTTATGGTTATGGCTAGACCTGTAGTCCAAAGGCAACTGGAGGTGGGTGGCTCTTCAGAAATGGACCAAATCGAGTACAAGGTATTAGACCTTTATATCTCCATATCCCGCATTCCTGGGCATAGGTGTAGCATTGGGCAAAGCAGTTCCCTGAGGGCAATGCTCACTGATAGATACAGCTGTGACTGGTCAGAAACCAATATTACCAACAACTCAGGAACGGGTGTGCCCTGAACAGAGGGTCTGGGAGAAGTTGCACAGCATACAGGACAGGTGGGATACCTCTAAGATCACACTTGAGGTTATACCCAGTCATGACTGGCATACTCAGCCCAGCCCAGGAATGCCTGACCCCTTGGTCTTCCTTGGTGCACCCAAACAATGCTTGGTTGCATTTTGCCTTCTTATTTGATTTATACTAGGAACCTATTTAATTTCCCATTTTTCCTTTCTCCAGACATTTTAAAACTCTTTTCTTCTTTCCCTTTCTATTTTCTGGTCCAACTATTTTCTACCCTCCAATAGCACTTGAGACAAATCAATCAATCAGTTGCCTATGAGAGAATGGCAGTGTAGTGAAGTAAAATCTTACGCATAAAGAAACAAGGCTCTTGAGATTAAGTCCTGGCTTTGCCACTAATGAATTTGGGGCAAGCACATCACCTTATGGGGTTGTTGCTTGTCTTTAAAAAGAGATTTACAATGGTCTCTGAGATTCCAGTTCTTTGAAATTTTAAAAAATGTTTTAACAATAACCCTATATGCAAAACAGAAAAAGAGACACAGATGTACAGAACAGAATTTTGGACTCTGTGGGAGAAGGTGAGGGTGGGATGTTTCAAGAGAACAGCATTGAAACATGTATATAATCTAGGGTGAAACAGATCACCAGCCCAGGCTGGATGCATGAGACAAGTGCTTGGGCCTGGTGCACTGGGAAGACCCAAAGGAATCGGGTAGAGAGGGAGGTGGGAGGGGGGATCGGGTTGGGGAATACTTGTAAATCCATGGCTGATTCATGTCAATGTATGACAAAAACCACTACAATATTGTAAAGTAATTAGCCTCCAACTAATAAAAATAAATGAAAAAAAATAAGAAAAGAAAAGATGACTTTCTCTGCTGTATTATCCCTCATGAAGCATGCAAGACAAATAGTTTTATAACTCAGGACAGCTGATTTTTTAACTTAATTGCAATTTGTGATGTAAACTTCCACTCAGTATTCAACGACAATACTTTAACCACAGGTTCAGTCAGAAGATGGGGGAAGAGAGGTGAAAGAATGAGGCAGATTAGTCAGTCTGTGGGTGATTGGATCTCCACAGACTTCAGAACAATTTATCTGGGATATCAGAGTTGCTTCCTAAGGATTTTATTTATCTCAATGCACATGGCCACACTCTTTGTCTGAACCTGCCCTAAAAGTTATGGAGAACTGCCTCCTTTTGAATAGGTTACCTGGGTTGGTGTTTCACAAACTGGTTTTTCTGCTCAGTCAGAGGCTGCCATCTTCTCATGTAGAAGTTACATCAGGGAGAAGCACCCACAGTCCTGGAAATCCCCAAGTAGCTTGTTGAAACATGTATGGGCACAGGCAGGAGCTATGACATAATCTATGACTATAGATCAGTAGTCAATTCAAGGCCGTGCCATTCTCAAATGGATGAAGGCCTCCAGAGGCCTGGGTGGGAGTGGCCCAAAACTGAGTCATTAACTCAAGTTCGTTGATTACTTACTCAAAATGAGGTTTCTGACTTATTACAGAGCTAGGCTCTCTAGCTCTGGAGAACGGAAGTCCCAGACAC